CATCGAACTTCTAAGCTTTAACCTCGAGCAGGGTGAAAGAGGATTGCTAATCTTCGAACACCCTTGGTGATTAATAGTTTTTCTCTAAACTACTAACTTTACACCCAAATAACTGCCATAGACACACACTGACCTGGCCACGTGGATTCGGTATTCGTACAGTGCAGAAGTGTTTTTTTCTCTCTCCTCCGCATACGGACGTAAAAGTCATTGTGCTTATCAAACAGTTCTTATCAGGACTAAGTGTTTAGTTCCAACAAGGCCTCGTATATTGGCAAAACCAAACACCATTTAAAAGTTAGAGCCTATGAACATATGGGAATTTCCATAAAATGCAAAAAAAATTGAGTAACCCCTGTGTTTCCTCTATAAACCAACATAGTGAAGAAACAGGACATCAACCTATGCTATCAAGTTTTTCTATCCTCTTCAAGTCTAATACTGACCTGGAATTATTGATTAAAGAAATCCTTCACATCAAACAGCAGTCTCCAACACTGAACAACATGCAGTCTTCATTTAAATTATAATTTTTTTTATGTTCGTATTACTGATTGTACTTTGTGTGTGTGTGTTTTCTTGCTATAGTTTCTCCTCGTGATTACTGTTTTGTGTTTTATTTGTTTAATTATCGTTATATTTAGCAATTGTACTTTAGCAATGTCCAAAGACTTATGCAAATTCATTTTATTTTGCTTTAGATACTGAAGATGGAATCTGATAGAATTCCGAAACGTTTATCTATGTCCACTTTTTGTCAATAAACAGGTTCTAACACACGTTTAACGTGGATTAACGAGATTCCCACTGTCCCTATCTACTACCTAGCGAAACCACAGCCAAGGGAACTGGCTTGGAAAAATCAAGATACTGATAGAGACGGACAATTGAGTCAAGCGCGGTAGAAAGTGAGTGAATTGTTGTGAAATATAGTGTGTGTGTTTAATTCAAAATAACTGTGAAAATTAAGTGTATTGCAAAGTTGTATTGAGGAAGAATAAAGAAGTTTTATTTAAGAAAGGACCTGTATCGTAGAAAAATTAACAGGAACTGAGAGGAAGTGATGAATTTCAGGTGTGTAATTAATTGGACGTCATGTCAAGGGTTTACTGTGGTAAAAGTGTCGAGAGACGCCCACCAACCCCCATTGTGAAAGTCCCAACAGCTAAGTGTAAAATGCCAAGCACACACAGTGTCTACGTGTCAGGAAAGCTGGATGGCCAAAAGTGCAACTTTGTCGTAGATTCTGCATCCCAACAAAACCTTGTGAGTATCAAGGTGCTGGACCACAAGCCAAACAGAAGCTCAGTGGTGTGACAGGACCTTATGCAAGGTTGTGGGGACCAGTGTGGGTAACTTTTGAGCTCATGGGCTTAAAGGACAACCACAAAGTATACTTGGCTGACATTGAAGACCAATGCATATTAGGGTTGGACTACTTACTACCGAGGAAGTGTGTAATTAATTTTGATAAAATGACGTTTGAGAACAACAAAGGCCAAATTCCGGTATGTATTAAAAGAGAGGTTGAACTAACCAGGCGTCATCAAGCTGAAGTCAAAGTGACTGAAGGAGTTGATAATGATGAAGTGGAACCAGTTATAGATATTAAAGCAGAGCAGGAGAAAAACCAAGATTTGAAGCCAATAATTGATTTTCTACAAGCAAGTGTTTTGCACCCTGCTTGGGAGAAGGTGTCTAGCTTAAGCCCTGTGACAAAGAACTGATGGTATTCTTGTCCAGAGATGGGAAACTGCAGATGGGAAAATGACGACTTGGC